ATTTCCTTAGAGGGAACGAACAGTGCTTTTCTTTCTTCCTTGGAACCCATCATGAGGTAGGTCGCTGAAGTAATGATTATTTAGTGATGGGTGAAGAATCCAAGACTTAAATAAAAGACTACAGGATATAAGAAGAGTTCTTCAAAGGATCAGAATAATCAGTGACATCACACCTAATAACACAAAACCAAAGTCTTGGATCCAGAAGAAGTCAATACAGATAATACAATCAGATCTATGAACATGGATATATCTCGCCGCTTCTCCCTCTCACTCTCATTCTCCCTCTCTCTCTCTTCCTTCAAGAGAATTACCTTTGTAGAGTAATTACCTTTTGTCCCCTGCATCAAATGGGGATCACTCCCAACTGTAAACTACTTAGGATTTGTAAATATTAGAAGACCTGGCACTTGTTTCCAGGCAATTCAGGGTAGCTTACAGCAGAATTACGCCCCAAGGACAGTAAGAAAGGCCAGATAACAAAAAATTACCTGTTTGAGGACATCAAAGAGTGACAGGGCATTCAGGGAATTGTGACTAGAAGGCATTTATGACTGAAGAGCAGAAAACCTTAGAGAGGCGTGACCACAATCATTGGGGGCCTGTGACTTGAGCAGAGGCAAGGAGCTGAACATCTGAGCTTTTACCAGCACAAGCTGAGCCTCGGGTGGTCTTCTAGGTTAGAGTGGGACATGGTGTGACCTTGAAGGGCTCAAACACACATCCAGTCTTCCCTTAAGATAAGTGCTTAGTCTGCAGGGAGCAGAAGGCTGGGAAGACCCCAGCCCTCAGAAGAGCAGAGCAGTCCAGGTAGTCTCATGGTGCTGAGAAAACCAAGATTCGAGTCTAGGGCCTGCAGAAGATGAGGGGCAGAAAATGCCCAGGCCCTCTGCTGAGCACCTGAAGAGCTAAGCCCCAGGAACAGGGGAGCCCAGGAAGGAGGAAGGCAGACTCAGACGCACTAGACCAGAATGACGCTCACACTCCATGTGCCCTTGGGGAGGAAAGAATGGTCCCTCTCTAGGGAAAGCAACAACCTCACCTGAAGCTTCCATAATTTTTTTCAAGTAGCTCCACACCCTGCATGGAGCTCCGGCATTATGCTTGAACCACGACGCTGAGATCAGACCCAAACCGAAAGATCAAGAATTGATGCTTGACTGACTGAGCCACCCAGGTGCTCCTGAGCTTCCACAATTTTTAAAAAACATGGGTTCCCCACTTAATCAAAAAATAACTAGGCATGCCAAAGACAGAACTATATGGATGAAAACCAAGAAAAATAAACACACAACAGAAAATGATTCACAAGAATTAAGATACTGGACTTAGCAAAGATTTTTAAATAACTGTTAATTCATATGCTCAAAAACAGAGGAAAAGATGAAGAAAATCGTTTTCAAGCTTGAGAATTTTACCAGGATGAATGAAATGTATTTTTCAAAAGAAATCAATGGAAATCCTAAAACTGGAAGTTTGTACACTTCATTAAGATTTCATTATGGAATATTTGATTCCTTGAAAATCCCATACTAGGGACTTCTATGTATGCTATATAGTGTGTGTTACCAACTTTCTCTGACACTAATTCACAGTATTGTTCTCACAAGCACTGAAACAGTATTCAAACATACACTACAGAAAACGTTTGATGGTTCTCAAAAAAATTAAATTAGAATTACCACATAACCCAGCAATTCCCCTACTAGGTATATACCCAAAAGAACTGAAAATAGGTACTCAAAAGTAACTACACACAGATTTTCACAGCAGTACTATTCACACAATAAATAAAAAGAAAACAACCCCAACAGATGAATAACGTGGATAACAGACTGTAGGTGGCAACAACAATGTGAGGTTATTCAGCCACAGGAAGGAGTGAGGTACTGATACATTACAACACAGACAGACCTACAAAACCATTGAGATACCACCTCACGCCTGTCACAATGGCTAAATAACTCTAAGAAACAACACACGTTGGCGAGGATGTGGAGAGGTAAGGGGAATCCTCTTGCACTGTTGGTGAGAATGCAAACTGGTGCAGCCACCCTGGAAAAGTGTGTGGGAGGTTCCTGTTTAACAATAGAACGGCCTCTATGACCCAGCAATTGCACTTAGGAATTTATCCAAAGGATACAGGTGTCATTTTGAAGGGGCACATGCACCCCAATGTTTATAGCAGTGCTTTCTCACCAATAGTCAAATTATGGAAAGAGCTGCAAAATGTCCACTACTGATCTGGATGAGTGGATAAAGAAGATGTGGTACATATTCAATAAATGGAATACTCACTCGATGATGAAAAGAATGAAACTGCAAACAACATGGATGGAACTGAGGGTTTTATGCTACAAAATAAGTCAGAGAAAGATACATATCATGTGATATCACCTACAGGAATTTGAGAAACTTCTAACAGATGACCATAGGGAAAAGGGAAAGAGAAATAAGAACAGAGAGGGAAGCAAAACCATATAAATACAGAGAACAAAACTGGAGGGTTGACAAGTAGGGGGGCATGGGGAAAAAATGGGTGATGGGCATTGAGGAGGGCACTTGTTGGAAGCACTGCGTCATATGTAAGAGATGAATCAGAAATCTACCCTGAAGACAAGACTACACTGTGTGTTAACCAACTTGAGAATAAACTAAAAAAAAAAAAAAAAAAAATTACATTAAGAATAATGAACTATTAAAAAAAAACAACATACAAAACAGCCAAAACAAATAATCCAGTGAAGAAATGGGCAAAGACATGAATAGACACTTCTCCAAAGAAGACATCCAGATGGCCAACCAAATAGAAAAATGCTCCTCCTCTTCCCTCCATCACTCATCATCAGGGAAATACAAATTAAAACTACAATGAGATTACTACCCATACCTGCTCAGAATGGCTCACATTAACAACTCCAGGCAACAACAGATGTTAGTGTGAGGATGTGGAGAAGAGGACTTTTGCACTGTTGGTGTAATGCAAGCTGGTGCACAATTTGAAAATAGTATGGAGGCGTTTTCAAAAACTAAAACAGAACTACCCTATGACCCAGCAATTGCACTGCTAGGCATTTATCCAAGGGATACAGGTATGTTGTTTCAGTGGGACACAAGTACCCCCCATGTTTATAGCAGCACTATCCATAATAACCAGTATGGAAAGAGCTCAAATAAGCAACGATGGACGAATGTGGGTATATATATACAACAATGAAGTATTACTCAGCAATCAAAAGAATGAAATCTTGCCAAACTATGTGGATGGAACTGAGGGTATTATGTTAAGTGAAATTAGTCAGAGAAAGACAAAAAATCAGGGTGACTTCACCATAAGGAGGACTTTAAGAGACAAAACAGATAAACATAAGGGAAGGGAAACAAAAAAAATAATATAAAAACAGGGAGGGGGGACAAAGAGACTCATAAATATGGAGAACAAACTGAGGGTTGCTGAGTGGGGTTGTGGGAGGGGGGATGGGCTAAATGGGTAAGGGGCACAAGGAATTCACTCCTGAAATCACTGCTTCAATTATATACTGATGTACTTTTTTAAAATAAAAAATAAAGCAATTATAAAACAAACAAACAAAACAAAAAAAACATAAACCTTGAAAACAGAAGTCAGACACATAGTATGATTCCATTAATATGCAATGTCCAAAATACATGAATCCAGATATTGGTGATACAGACTAGAGTGGAGGCTGAGAAGAAGGAATGGGGACAGAATCTCCTGGATGTGGGATCTAACACTTGAGGTGACGGAAATGTCTTTGGCAAGATAGAAGCGGGTGGTTGCACAAACACCTGAGTGTACCAACGCCGAACTGCATTTAAAATGGTAAAGTTTAACTTAAGATACAAAACAGGTGAATGTAAGGGAAGGGAAGCAAAAATAATATAAAACAGGAAGGGGGACAAAACATAAGAGACTCTTAAATATAGAGAACAAATTGAGGGTTGCTGGAGGGGTTATAGGTAGGGGGATGGGATAAACGGGTAAGGGGCATTAAGGAAGACACTTGTAGGGATGAGCACTGGGTGTTATAAATAGGGGATGAATCACTGGAATCTACTCCTGAAATCATTATTGCACTATATGCTAACTTGGATGTAAATTAAAAAATAAACAAATAAATAGATAAATTTTAAAACTAAATGTCAAAAACAGAAAAAAAAATGAACAAATACATTTAAAAAGAAATAAAAAATAAAATGGTAAAGTTTATGTTATATGATTGTCACCTCAATAAATTTAAACACAGACATATAGATTTTGTTGTTGATCTATAAAGTCAACTCATTCTTTTTAATAATTGATGATAATATTTAGAGTACAAATGTCCTACTATTTATCCAATGATTCTCCTATTAATGGATATTCAAGTTATTTCCAACTTTTTGCCATTCTAAGACTGAATGGCATCCTCATACATACAGAAAAGGGACTTATGTATTTAAGATATTTGAGATTAATTCTTGGAAAGATTGTAGCAATTCACACTCTTAGCAATTTGTATGTATTTCACCCTTTTAACTTTTGTTGATCTGAATGGCCGAAAAAAAAAAAATTGGTTAGCTTACCATTGCTTTAATTTAATTTACATTTCCCTAACAGCAATGCTGGCCATCTTGTCATATTGGCCATTTGAATTTCCTCTTCTGTATGAATTCCCAACTCCTAACCTTTGCCCATTTTTCTATTTGGTTATTCTTTTGTTACCAATTTACAAGGCTCTTTCAGTATTAGCAGTTTTAACCATGTGACTGTCCTATATAATGTAAATTGTTTCTCTCAGTCTGTCATTTGTTTATGATGGTGGCCATGTTCTTCTTAGAGCTGGAGCCTTTTGGATCTTTACTTCATGTGCTGTGTCACTAAGACAAAAGAAGACAGTAAAGTGTTGAAGGAGAATAAAGTACAAAGGTCTAGCTATTTTTGGAAAATACAATGATTCTTTTGGCATCTCTTTTTAAAACTCCACTTAATGACCTACCTGCATTACTAAAGTGTCTCTTGTTGGGGTGATTATAGTTATCTCTTGGGTGTCCATGCATCTGTGGGCCATGGGAGGCAGGCAAGTGAGGCTTCTGAGGGTGAAGGTTGTGTGGGGTGTGGGACTGAGATATCAGGGAGTCCCGGCTGGAGCCTGAGGCCTCTGGTCGAAATGGCTTCTTACCACCAATCACATCATCTTTCTTCTTTTGCTCCTGAGAATAAAAGGAAACCAAAGAATCTTAAGACCCCAAGCTGAATTCCCAAGAATAGTACAGAGGTCACCACCTCTAAGTATTCCCCTCTTGCCCCTCTTCTGGCTTCCAACCTGCCATCTACTATATTCTTATACACCATGTTCATAAGTTTCCCTGAGCTCCCCCTGCTGCTCTCACAAGAAAGTCACGCTCCCCTGGCAAGTCACTGTAAGACCGTGTGCATGGGCTGCTGGGTGCCACTGCACAGGGCCCGCCCAGGACAGATGCCCGGGCTGTCAGCCTTCTCAGAGACTCATCTTGGACCATGTAAAAGTAGGAACACAACTTTCCTAGACTAACTAGAGCAAACAACCTCTGACTAGCCCAGTGGGAACTAGTTCCTATGCCAAAGTCATCAAGCTAAACATCTCAATGTTTATTTACTTCTTTACCACACAAGAAAATGTAATAGAAAAATATTAGAAAATATAATAAGAACAGCAACAGCAAAAAATAACGTAAAGTGCCCTAAAATCTCACTACGAAAGAAATTAATGTCTGCGATTTGGTCCATATCTTTCTAAGCTTGTGTGTGTGTTATTTTTTTTTTTAACAACAAAAATATTATTTGGTATTCTTCTTTCACTTAACACATTATGAAAATTTTCTCATGTAAACACTTACTTACACTATTGTATTATGGCCGAATAATATTCCCCAGCATGAATATATCATAATCTATTTAATCTATTTTTTATCGTTGGGCATTCAAGTCATTTCCACAATAAACATGTTTAAATCCTTAATTACCTCATTAAATTCTCAGAAGAACTGTTTTTGTCTTTTGACAAATCTGACTGAACTATCCCTCCAGAAGGCTGTGATAGTGCACACCCCCAGCAGCAGGACCACTATTTTTGTTCAATATGCTAACTGCTGATACTTAGACTAACGTGGCCCCTTTACCATCGTGTGTTCAGCTATAAACCCTCATCGTAACTTTCACTCCCCACTACAGGGTCTTTCCCACTATTTCATTCCCTCCTCAGGCTTTTCCTGACTATCCTCGCAAACTTTTATAATGCTTAAAATTTACATTAACGTTCAATGATACTAGTATATTATCTCTATATATTACTACCATATCATATTCTTCTAAATTATAAACTACTTGAGCATACTATTCTACAGTACAACACAATACTAAGCATGTTAAGTTCATGCAACAAATACTTCTAAGCACCTTCGCTGTGCCTAGTACCTTTCCAGGCACTGAGGATATAGCAGAGGATGAGAAGCATAATATCTCTGCCTTTGAGAAGCTGACAGGTTAGTGGAGGAGGTATTAAATGTCCAGAGACTGGCTCTAAATGGCTGATTTGGGGGACCTAAAGGGCTGATGTGGCAGGTCAGCAGATCTGTGAATGGGCATGTCTTCAAAATCAGCTAAGGCATTTATGTGCCCATCCCCCTATGCCAAAGAAGGGAAGGAACTTCTGGGCACCTTCTCATGTTGGCTCCTTTACATGAGTAGCTGGGACGTTACATACAAACACGGGAAGGAACGCCAAGTATACGTGACCCAGAAAAGAACAAAACAAGTATTTTCTGCCCACATGACTTATCAAGAGCCACGTTTATAAGCTACCACAAGACGAGAGAATAAATGATTATGGGCATAAGAACGCAGGGTAGGGGCGCTTGGGTGGCTCAGTTGGTTAAGCGTCTGACTTCGGCTCAGGTCATAATCTCACAGTCCATGAGTTCGAGCCCTGCGTCAGTCTCCATGCTGACAGCTTAGAGCCTAGAGCCTGCTTCAGACTCTGTGTCTACTTCTCTTTCTGCCCCTCACC